GAGAGGCCACAGCAGTGAGAGGCCCGCGTACCGCAAAGGAAAAAAAAAAAAGATATATGCACCCCAATGTTCACTAAAACACTGTTTACAATAACCACGTCAGGGAAGCAACCTAAATGCCCATTGACAGATGAATGGATAAAGAAGATGTGGTACATATATACAATGGAATATTACTCAGCCATAAAAAGGGATGAAATTGGGTCATTTGTAGAGACATGCGTGAATCTAGAGACTGTCATACAGAGTGAAGTTAAGTCAGAAAGAGAAAAACAAATATCGTGTATTAACACATATATGTGGAACCTAGAAAAATGGTACAGATGAACGGGTTTGCAGGGCGGCAACTGAGATACAGATGTGGAGAACAAGTGTATGGACACCAAGGGGGGGAAGTGGTGGTGGTGGGGGGTGATGGTGGGATGCATTGGGAGATTGGGATTGACATGTATACACTAATATGTATAAAATGGATAACTAATAAGAACCTGCTGTATTAAAAAATAAAATTAAATTAAAAAAATTACACTGGCAATTTAGAATAAATTAATTGATAAGACATCTCAAAAGAAAAAAAAGGAATGAAGTACTAGTACCTGCTACAACACAGATAAACCTTGAAAACACGCTCAGTGAAAGAAGCCAAACACAAATGAGTGCATTTCGCAGGATTCCATTTATATGAAATACCCCAAAGAGGCAAATTCACAGAGAGAAAGTGGTTTCGCATTTGCCAGGGGAGAGGACAATGGGGAGTGAAATGAAACAGGACCCTACGGTCCTTCCCCCACCCCCATATCCTCCTGTCTTTTGTCTGCGTAAAAACTTTAGCCAAATTAAGTTTAATCAGAGAAGTGAGAAAATGTAGAAGCAAAGAAAAGCAGTCAAACAGGACAAAACGATAACAGTTTAGTCAGTAAGCAAAGTCAAGGACATTTAGTTCCCTCTCAAGGGCTCTGGAGAATATTCTGAGCCACGTCCTGTGAGCTGTCTTGTAGATACTGAAACCCTCACCAGGTGGAAGAAGTTAACTACACGATGACCAGGCTGTAGCCATGACACAAGCTGCCACAATTCCGAGAACTGGCCTCAAGGAAATGGGAACAAACCGAGCCGGGAACTGAAGGTTAACTGTACCTAAAACAATCAAGATGGTGCTGGTCAGACCACTGATGACCAATTTCTCAATGACGGTGAGAGCTGACTGTGCCGTTTCTGCATGTAGCCCGCTCCCTCTGCCTATGAAAGCTCTGGCCCGCTGGTTGTCAGGGGGAGCGAGTCGGCCTTTGGACATGAGTCTGCACCTTCCCCTAGTTGCCGGCATCCAAAATAAAGTAAACTTTACTTTCCACCAAAAAAAAAAAAAAAAAAAAAGAAGGAGTATGCTTCTCTGCAAAGGGAGGTTCTCTTGTAATTGATTGGTTTAACTTGCTGAGAATTTTGCCACCTCTTCCCGCCCTGGTGTCTTGTTTTTTCGTTATTTGGGGCACTGGCAGGCCTCTGGTAGGCCAGCTGCCTCTCGATGGCATAAAACAGATGGATAAAAAGTTCTACAGGCAGCAGTAGAAAAGAACAAAACCCAAGCCACCATCCCACCTTCACACACCCTTCCCATTGCTGCAGGTGGCAAGGGTTAGTTGGGCCAAAGCCCACATCTGCCTCGCTGTCGTGATCCTGTTTGGGTCTGTGGAGTGTTTGGGCTATTTCGGCTGAACCATCAACTAAGCCCATCACTCAAAGTCAAAGAAGGCAAAGGGTTCTCTATGGGAGTGACCACAGATGCTTATTAAATTTTAGTAATGGCAATATCAGAGTTTTAATTGATCCAGGTTGTGTATTGACTACTGAGGACTCACTGAACTTTAAACCATTACAATCGCCAACTGTCAGATGCTAGACTTCTGCTAGAATGCCCCTGGAAACCAGGAAGCTGGAGCAATGAAAAGGTAGACAAGACGGACCTTCAGAAGATGTCTGGATATCCTCTACCCTCTGACACCCCACGGGGATGAGATTTCTATCTGCCCTCAGAGAGGGAAACGACACCCCTTTTCCCTATATCTAGTCCCATTAGGCCAGGTCCCCAAGCCTCGAAGGTCGGCTTTCTTACGGGGAAGCAGAGGACAACTGGCTTCCTACAGCGTAAACTCACATCGCCCCTACAATCCCAGTCAAGCGAATCCCATTTCATCATCAAGTTGCACGTCTTGAGACAAAAGAGCTCCTCCTGGATCACAAGTCCTGTGTTCACCGGGTACTCAGGCAGTTATAAGGTTAAATGGAAGTGACATGGGCCCAGAGACGAGCAAAGCAGTGGGATACCTCAGTGTCACATGGGAGCCTGACTCAAGCCAGCATGGGCTTTCTGTCCAACTCCAGAATCGCAGAACTCAGGAAGCAACTTTGAAGGCCTGAAAAGTGCTCTTTCTTTTCCTCGGAGAGAAACAAAATTGCTGCCTAATCATTATGGAATTTTAAATCAAGAGGTGATAACAGGCTGCAAAAAGAGTTTAGGAAACCAGTAGAGTCTGCGTTAATGAATGTATGAAAGATCACCACCAGACTGTAAGTAGACAGAGATACTGGGGTTAGATCTCTACCTTGGGAAGGGCACAACCTGGAGGGGAATTTCTACTCAATTCCCTTCCCAACCTGAGGTCGTTCTTGGGACAGACAGAATTTTAGGCAAGTCATAGGATGGATGGACCCAAAGCCGCATACCTCATTTTCTAGAAAAGACTAGTTTATTCAACAGAATAGGTAATGTGATAGAAAATGACATCTGTCATGTGTTAAGTTAGCGTTCTCTAATTGAAGAAACTAGAAAACATGAATCCAATTAATTCAGTAGGTGTTACAAGTCCTTATTTTGAAGAAAGGTTTTTAATTGTATCACCCAACAATTACAGAGACTTCTCACTCATGGAAATACTCAAGTGGTCCTGAATTAATGGAAAACATAAAACAGGAAAAGCACAGAGAAGTAGCTTTACACAACTGCATTGCTAGAATAGTAGGCAAAGTCAGCCCATTACTTTGAAAGGCGCTGAGTTCCTCCTACTGTGAACAGAAAAACTGTTAAGGTTTAGAGGGAAATGCTCAGTTACGTTTGAAGACAGGGAAATTCGTTAGAAGAGCAGGGACAATGGGAACCTCTGTTTTTGTTTCTAGGGAATGAACTTTTTTTTCCTCCCAGTATCTGCACTAAGTGGTTATATAAGAACAAGGGCTAAGATACTAACTTACTAGTCAATTAATTATTGGGCTTCAGGAGGGGTTTTTGAGAGAAGATCAGAAAATGTCAAAGGTAATAGCATTGCTCATCATGAAAATCTATGCACATTTTCTACCCAGGACAAAGTCCTGTATCTTTTGGGGAGAAGCCTTAGAATATACCGGTCCTAGTTTCTGATGACTTGTCTTTGTACCTACAATCATGTCTTCAATGGGAGTCCATGTTTTTAAAAATGGTTCTTGATTCATTCTACCAAAGTCTATAAAGATATTTTGTGTCTAGATATGTAGCATTATTGAAATGTAATTTATATACCATAAAGCTCACCCATTTAAAGCATGCAATTCAGTTGTTTTTAGTATATTTACTGGGTTGTGAAGTCTTCACCATAATCTAATTTTACACCATTTTTATCACCCCAAAAAGAAACCTCGTCACCAATGGCAGTGGCATTATATTGTCAACTGAGGGCTTTCTCTTGCTTCTCAATGCATTTTGTTGAAGGAATCACTGAAGAAGAAAAGTCAAAGGGAAAAAAGAAATATGTAGAGGAAAAGAATTAATGTGTCAGATTTTAAGTGTGTTGTGATCCAGAGTCTCTCTTCTTTCTACCAACAGACTCAGAAGCAGTACAGTTATCAGCTTTTGCGAAAATCCCTGAAGCAACCCCAGAAGATCACGTGGCAGCCATTCTTAGAGCCCACAGGCTTGTGTGGTTGTCATGGGGAAGGCTTTTCAATTGAAATCAAAACACTTGGGCTCCGCCTGCCACCATCGAGAAAACGCTTTTCACCCATGAGCACAGATAATTCGCCTAAGTGACAGGTTTCACCTTGGAGAAGCACTGAACTGAGCTGGTTTACATAGTCAATTATTGCTCATTCCACAGAAGAGAACTGGGAAGGAAGGGAGGGGGGCGGTGGTAGCTAGACAATGCCGAGATGCCTGCCAGCCCGCTGACGGGAACAGCTCCTCCGGCTGTTTCCAGCCCTGTGAGAACCTCACTTCTGGAGAGAAAACAAAGCTTCATCTTTACCTCCTGATGGTTCTTTAAAACACACACACACACACACACACACACACACACTTTGGCAAATGAGAAATCAAAAACCAACCCAAACCAAGAGATGGTCTGCTCTATTCTAGAAAGTAACTTTATATATGCCCATTCAAATACTTTCAAACAGTCTTATAGGCAAAGGAAGATGTGAAATACAGCTGGAGTATGTTTACTGATTAGCTTTACATATCTCATTCAATAACACAAGTTAGGAAAAACAAGCCAGAGCAAGGAGTCAAAAGTCAGGCACACACAGCACCATGAATTGGGTTCCGCGCATAAAGTAAAGTTCGAGAGAGAATCGCATCAGAAGACAGACAGCTCTCGGGGAAATGATGTGGAAGAGAAGTCTGAAGACAACACCCCAGAATAAATGAAGTACTTATTGTTGAAAAATGAGCTTAGATCTCAACCAATTCCAAAGTTCAGAATTTACTGCACCATTCAGGACTTTCCCTCCAAGTTTCCTGTCTCCTGTTTCATTGTACAACAAGGGATTCTTCATACTTTCTATGAAATACAACAAGGCGATTTTTGCAGTAATAAACTCCACACATGCATGACAAATTGAAGCATGCAAAATGTTTAACATCCCAGTTCACAGATACTTTAGGGACAAAATCCGATTATGAATTATATGCCACAGTAAATAGGGCTCAATGTTTCATAAAGCAATTTATAGTTCATAAAAATGACAAAATGTACCTGTCAGACAGAGCGTGGAGAGCCGTTCTCTGGGCTGCCTGCTGGAAGAAAGGGCAGAGATGTTTATTTAATATGCTGACTTTAAAATTATGTGCTCAATCAATACTTAAAAAGAAACCCTGTGTCACCCACACTTCTGACAGGTGGCCAAATATGAAACTACTAATAACACAGTAGAGAATCCTCTCGTGTTAGGAAACGAATATTTCTGAAGAGTTAAGGGAAGCCCCCATGGGTCACACTTGCCACCAGGGGGTGAGCTTGAGGAGACTGGACATACTGCACAGGTGAGGTTGGACAGGTCTCAGGAGACGTGGTACTGATCAGAGCTATTTCACTTTTACTTCCGGAATTCCCTTTTACCATTTGCTTTATTCTACTTTCCTGTAAGGAAAAGATCTGTCTTGGTTCCTTTGCAGCTTCTTTTCCTACGCAGCTATAATTTTGGACCTGGTTTTCAGATTTATTGATAAAAGCATCACAATTGGATACTGGAACGTTGACTCGCTATGTGATGATATTAGGAGATTGCTGCTATGTTTTAGACACAGGAACATAACTGTGGCAATGTTTTTATAAAGAGTCTTTTTGAGATTCATATTGAAATACTTATGAATGCAATTACACGATGCTGGGGTTTAAAATAATACAATTGGAGGGAAGAGAGAGTAGGTAGGCATAGAAATGAAATGAGATGGTCTTGGGTTGATAACTGTTGAAGCTAGGTGACAAGAACACTGGGGGAATAGTATAGTATTCTGGGAATTATTGTGTGTTTGGAATTTTCCATAATATAAAAATTAAAAGAAGAAAGGAAATAAGAAGGCCTCCATTGCTCCCTCAGATTCTCCCAGTTTTGCACTCACTTTCCTTTCGTCGTCTGTCCTATTCTTTTGTCTGTTTGCCTTATGCCGCCAAGCACTCTGAATCTACGGAAGGCAGAAAAAGACTTCTCTGACTGAGAAGTCACAATTGGGAGGGGATCAAAGCATGGCCTCGAAGACCAAGGCTTCCTCAGGACGCACGTAGGAAATAAGTAGCGTTCAGAGTCAGTCTTCACCTTGTACATGACATATGTCAAATTTACTGTTTACCAGTGATACCAATGTTTCCCACGCTATTCCTCATTACAGGTGGGTGGCAGACAAAATAGAATCTTCAGATTAGAAAAAACGACACATCAGAACCATTATCTCTATTACAGAAAAGAAATATACCCTTGGCGATGGTTGCATATCCTTGGATCATGCAGTCAGATCAACACTTACTGAATTCCTACTACACGAAGATGATTGCTCTGGGGTCTCAGAGGGAAAAAAGCCAAAGCAGAAGTGGTCACTGTCCTGGACAAGCTGAGTCCCCAGGTAGGGAGTCAGAAGAGAGGTCCAGGGATGACTGGCAGACATTTATGAAGTAACATGCAAATAAACAGATGAAGGTAGGACAGAGCTAGGAAGGGGCAGACGTGAGCGGTGACTAATGGCTGGCGGATCTACAGCTCCTCAAACAGGGTGTGGAGCTGTTAGCAGGTGCTCTGGAAATACCTGCAGAGTAAACATCAACGAATGAGTCACTTAGGAGATCCTCCCCACTGAAATGTGGTCAGGCGAGAAGAGGCACTGGTGGTCCTGGACTAGACGGCGGAGGAAGGGCCTGTCCAAGCCCCTGGCAGTGGTTCTCACCTGGGCTACCCTCCCCCCAGCCCCCGGAGCATCTGGAATTGAGTGTGTTTCTGTGTGTCACACTCACGAGGGGATCACTACTGGCATTTAGTGCCTGGCCCCAGGGATGCTAACACTTTTCAAACGTCAGGAGGGTCCCCTTGTACAATCAGGGACTGTCCCCTTCAAATAACAAGGGTGTCTCTGTGGACATGCTGCAGCAAAGTAGCGATGAAAGGCAGATCTGAAAGAAAGAACCCAGGGAACATGAGCTCCTGGGCCTGGCACCAGGATTGGAAAATAAATTAGTAAGAGAAACTTAGATAATTCCACAAGGGACGCAACCACAGTGAGTTAGGAAAAAGCATAAAATCTGTTCAACAGGGAATTGAGAGTCTTACATTCTGGGACAGGTTCTGCCTTACATTTATATTATGGACCTGGAGTCTGGTCCTCGACCCAGGTCTCAGTTTCCAAACTACCCTTTCCTTCCCCAAATGGAGGCTGAGGGAGCCAGTCAAGGTCTAGGCTACTGTGGACGATCCAAGGGGCAGGGGTCCCCTCCTTCTTCCCTGGATTCCAGGGAACGACAGCCCAAGTGACCTGGCATTCTAGTGTCACATGATTCGTTCAAGAAAGAGAAGAAGAATAACTACAGTGCTTTCTCTTTGCGGGGACACCTGAGGGAGTCGAATGTGGCAGGGGGAAGAGGTGAGAAGCCAAGGAAGGCCTGGACAGCACTCCCTGCCCTCTCCTTTCTCTCCTTTGTCTGTGCTCTCCCGAGGGCCACCCCAGGAGCAGGTTCACGAAAAGCACCCAGCAGGTGACAGGCAGCTGTCATTGCTCCCAGGTTCATCTCCTAAAGCGTTCTCCCTCACTCAGCAAGATGGCTTTCCACTTTCGGCAGTTATCCTTGAAAAGAACTTCACTCTCTAGTAAATACACAATGTGTTTGGCTAAATATACAAAAAGTATTTGGAACTCCCCAAAGGAAAGATGGCATGTATTATCAGCACAGTCTCTCATCATCTCAGCAGGAGGCACTGGAGACAGACTCCTGGAATAACAAAAATCAGGAGATGTGACTAAAAGGTCAATGGGAATCTCTCACATGGCACCTGAATTTTCGTCCAGCCCTGGATGTCAATTTTTTTTTAAGTCTATTGATTCTCTTCTCTCCTGCCTGCAAATACTTCCCACTGACTTTTGTGATAAGGAAACACAGCGCTTGTTGATGTGCAGTCTATAAGAAGATGATTTAAGAAGCAAAAGCAAAGCAAAACAAACCCGAAACAAGAAACTCAGATGCCCGACCATCACTAGAATGCCTGCGAATTGATGCATCCCAGGTGGTGGTACCTGCTGAGAATAACTCCATAGGACTGACATCGGTGAGTCCTCTAATGTAAGCTGAGTTGGAAGCTGGGAACAGGGGCTGCTTTCCTTTAGCAGATGGACACGATGCTGGGACCAAAAGGGCCTTCTGGGCTTAGACATCATGCATCTAGCCAGTCACCAAGCAATGTCTTTCTGTGACCCTCACCCTTCAATCTGCCACACGACTGCCTGCACTACTATTTTTAATGCCTGCTTTTGATTGTTCTATTTAATTTGTTGTTATTCTACATCATTCAAAACTTTACAGAGGAGGGCTCATCATCCATCAAAAAGGAGACGAGAATATATTAAATGTTTTAAATAACTCCTCGAGGAAAAAAACAAAACTTAACGGCATTAAAATTGTATGTTATATACCAAAGCAAAGACCACCGACTTTTTCTTACTGCCTCCTCTCTTAAAATAAACTTTGGCTGTTGCACACTATTTTATTTTACTGTTGGAAAATAATAAAATAAACACTGGAATTAAATAGCAGAGAAAAAAATTACTCAGGTGACTCATGACTGAAACCTGAAAAACTACTCATAGAAAACTAGATGAATTGCCCAATTTCCTTCTTTCAAGACTTGTATGTTAGAGCCACCATATTTCTCTTTCTAAATCATCATCTCCTCTTGTGACTTTTTTATTCAATTCTCAGCAAAACAGATTGAAGCCTTAAGACAATGCGTCACTGATCCTTCCTGAGTTCATTACTCATTCATGAATGACTCTGAAGGGTAAGTCTGTGAGACAAAACAAGTTTTCTGCCAGAAATAATTATTTTCCAGGTTCTCTTTGAGGGATGACATCTTTTCTCTGTCTTTATTACAGCAAGCTGGGTGCTTGGGAACCTAATCAGTAGACTTGCAGGTTTCAACATACGCTAAGTGAATTACCAGTCACAATCTGTTATTGAGGGGAAATCAAAGAGGAAGTTAAGTGCCCTTACCGTAACTGGGTTGAGCGTAGAACAAGTTTATGGATACTGGAGGGGGAGAAAGCAAAGGGAAGAGGCTAGAATTCAGAGGGGTCTTAGCATAATCCAGTTTCTTTCTTACTTGATAGAAACAGAAATACCACGTGGACAGCTCCATAAAGCCAACTGCTGTACCTATCAAGTGCAGGGCCTGGGCTCTGCTTGGGTGACAGTCAAAGCGGACAAAGCTTTTGCCACATTGTACTTGGAGTCTACATGTGAGCCAGACATGAAAAGTTAAACACACACAAGCATTCTAGATCCTGGATCTAGACAAGGGCTATGACCAAAGAGGACAGCCAGACGTGAAAAGTTAAACACACACAAGCATTCTAGATCCTGGATCTAGACAAGGGCTATGACCAAAGAGGACAGAATGTGAAGGGACCTCATTTGGAATGAGTGCTCAAGGAAGGTTCACTAAGGAAGGGATAACAAAGCTGCCACAAGGAGGGCAAAGAAGAGTTACTGAATGAGAGACGTAGGAATGGGGAAGGAAGGAAGGGAAAAGTGTTTGGGAGCAGAGGCCCGAGGCAGGCCTAGATCTCTGGTCAGTGGAGGAACTACAGGAAGGTTGCTGTCGGGGAGGTCAGGGAGCGGTGGGGACAGCGGCAGGCCCCAAGGGCTTTGGAGGTCAAGTTAAGGATTTTGGACATTATCCACAGCAAGAAGAAGTCACTGAAAAGTTTACATGACGGGAAGCTGGGTGAAGGATATATGGCAGCAGTCCCCAACCTTTTTGACACCAGGGACTGGTTTCATGGAAGACAACTTTTCCAAGGACCGGGGCCAGGGGGGATGGTTCAGGCGGTAATATGAGCGATGGGCAGCGATGGGCAGCGGTGGGCAGTGGCAGATGAAGCTTTGCTCGCTTGCCCACCACTCACCTCCTGCTGTGCAGCCTGGTTCATAACAGGCCGTGGACCCCTGATGTATGGAACCTGCCTGTACATTCTTTGCAACTTCTGGTGAATCTATATAATTTTAAAAAAAGGGCTTCCCTGGTGGCGCAGTGGTTGAG